TTGTTTCTGCATTATTGTAGTTTATTAAAATTAAGATATACAGGAAATTTAAATTGATTGCATATGAGATGTTAGTAGGTTTGTTATGAAAACATACATGCAATAGTACGATCCAAAGATAAACATGATCAATGTTCAATCGTAAAACTCAGCACGATAGATTGCGTGACTGATATAGCTTAGATTATACTTTTTATTTGTTGGTCATTTTTAGATTCGTGATTAAGATAATAAATTAAGGATGATAGTATTTTTGTTTTAATTTTGTGTATATACTTAACCTAAACTAATTCATAATTTACTGTTAACTTGTATTTTTACCATCAAGTGACTGTGAAATATAAGCAATTAATTATGAGATATGTTGGTGAATTACATCATGGGCCTATGATATTTTCTTGTGGAAACAAAAATTTAAAAAATATAAGGATGTATAGGAATAACATTTATTTATATTCGTCTTGTATCTATTGGACACAATTTGCTGATACGTCGCAATGTAAAGCCACCTGCACCAACCTAATAACAGGTCGACTGTGTCTGCAGTGTAAAGTTGGTATGCAATGTTTAATGCGAGTTACAGCTTTGGCGTGTATGTCACTTCACATTTTAGGTAATTTGATAAAGCTTGAAGGAATCATATAATTTTCTAAAAGCCAAAATTTATGCTCAAAGGTAAAAGTCCCTTATTTTAGTTTTGTAAAGGTTTCAGCTATTGTAAAACTATTTTAGTGAGTCGTTGCATGCGTTTTGTGTGTATGTGAGTGTGTGTTGTTTGTGCGTGAGTGTGGGTAGAAGTTGTATGAATGGTTTCCAAGTCCCAGTGCTTTTCACAGTATTATTAAATACAGTACCCTTAAATACCCTTTTTTCTAGTTTTTTATCATTTATTTATTATTATTAGATTTGTCTCCATCTTTACTTTTTTCAGATATTTCCATAATACTTTCGTTATCTGCTGTGGCTTCCTGGTAAAAATGTTTTTTTTCCTTTTTGGTAAATGTGTAATTAGTAGTTAGAGTAACAATTATTATTAAAACAATGTTAGATTATAATATGGATAGTCTGATAATAACTCGTTCCCCACGCACAGGCTTCGCCTATGTGGGGAAATTCCATTAATATTAAGAATACTGTTTTGTAATTTTTTGTTTATCATGGAATAAATGATGTTTGATTTGATTTGATTTGAAAGAGATTAAGATGTATTTACGGCTATTTTGTTTATAACAATTATAAAACAATCTACCTATCATAGATGTATTACCTAGTGAGGTATTTTAAAATTTTTACAATTACATTACATTGCTAACGGTCCAAACTTTAACACAATCTGTATTAAAATTATAAGAAAGCAAACTCAAAAGCATTATAAAATGTTCCTACGCAAAGTATTGCATATTGAACAACAAAACATGTCGTTTATGATGAACTGGCTTCCCAGGGTTAAATGGTTAAACCCTTAACTTTGAATATTAGAGTAGTCATCGAATATACATGAACCTGTTGCAGCCAGTTTTATAGTCAAAAGTGACACGGTTATCTTATTGAGTATGTACTACATAATCGTTGACAGCTCTATTTATTCTTTTGGCTTTGTAGGTGATAGTTGATAGTAGTATAAAATATACCGTTCAGTTATATACGATGGTAAAGTAAAGGGATAATACTACTATAAGACCAAGTTATCAAACAAAAATGTTATTCTATGTGAGTTATGTTATGGATACAAAATTTCATAAATTACAAATCATAGGAAACACAAATATGATCAATGATCCATCGGACGACAATGCACGAAACATAGCGTGTCTGTTCCTTCAAAGATTACACATTCTTACGTTACCATAAACATTACATATCGATATTTATCATAATTTAACAACAGAAAACAAATGACTATCGTTCATTTTCACTTTACGTTGATAATATTATATTCAAGTAAACACGAGTTAAAGTGAATGAAACAAATTATTATTTTTTTCGTTGTGTTTTAACGCCAGTGCCATTTTTTAAGTTTTGAAAGGGAACTGTCCTTATCCTGGTCTTGTTACTATCTAACGTCGACTTTTTTGTTAGATAGCATCATTAATTCATAGCCCAATGACACATGGCATCTGGGTTTGGAAACGGTCTCGCTTTGATTCGAACCAGCAACCTTCAGATTCGAAGGTGAGCACTATATCCATTCGGCTACCCATACAATTACCAATGGAGATAGAAACGCATCTTAGGAGAATTAACCCAAATATCAGTGAAGATGAGTGAATAATGAAATGATATTCCTTGTGTAGTTTTTTGCTGACTAAGTCCAACATTTTCCAGGGACGAACCTGCGACCGTTTGTTTGCTAGGTCAACACTAGAACCACTCAGCTAGAACCACTCACCTATATATAAACTTAAAAATAATATATTGATACCTTTCTTACAGTATACCAGTCCAACAGTTTAATTACTTTAATTACAAGAAGCGATCACACAAAAGGTACTAAAATTAATCACTTGAAACATTGTATACGTAACAAGTAATAGTGTTTAAATTTATATCACAATGCAATAACTAGTTTTTGGAAATCTGGACAGCAAAGGTCAGCAATGGTTGTAACCACTCCCTAAGTAAATGCCAATGAAGTATTAAGAAGAAAAGAAAGAAGTAAAGATTGAAAGAGTAACAATCATCATAGTTTAACTTATGCTTATGAAATTCGTCCGAAAAACGACTACTCTTGAAATCTTTCGACTAAAATGATATACAATGACAGTTAGGCCGGTGAACTAAACAAACAACCAAACATAAAATATAAACGCATAGTGTGGAATTGACTTGTTTACTTGGAGGGGACGGTTAATTTTCAAATTTTCTTTTAATAAGCAAAATAAACAGAGAAGATACAATTTGAATACAACTGTAAGATTTTAAAGACTCAATTCTATAAATACTCTTTTTACAAGATCGATTTACAGCTTTTTTTATAAAATTTAAATGTTTTATTTGGTTTTTAAATTAAGAAGTAACAGTCAAATAACAAATACAAAATATTCAAATCTCAGGAAATATAAATAAAATGTATATATGGGTGCCCAAACGGAAATTAAGGCGTAACCTACTTCTGGCGTTATTGATTGTCATAACCTCCTGAAAACAGTTTTCTCCCAAAAATAAAAAGGAAAATAATTATTCTGTTTAAATTGACGAATTGAATTTAAAATGTAACAAACTTGGTTCGTGTTTCATTCTAAGTAACTTAAAGGTGGTTTGATGATTTTCTTAACAGCCTGCTTTGGGGCTTCAATTTTCTTGTTATCTTCATAAACCTAAACTTTACTGTACTGGCTAAAAATGTTTTAAGATTTTTAAAAATGAAGGTTTTTGATTTATTTGATTTCAAATACTTAACATCAGTGACTTTCAGCAATTGGGGCCAAGCAGTCCATCAGTGTAAAAATTACTTCATTTACTAACTTCAAAATGGTATTAAAATGAAATTACTTCAAATTAATAATAGTTACCACCCGAATAAGTAAGCTGTAACAAAGTTCAAGCAATGATATTGAGTTGTTTACATGAGGGCGGTAGTTATGGCCCTCACAAATTTTCATATCTGACGCGAATACAGAGTTATTATGTTTATGGCCAATGTTCGGGCTGGTATAATCCTTTAAAAGCGTATTTTAGGCTTCTGGTTAAACTTTTGGATTTGAGTAGTTCTACTACATAGTACCTGTACATAAAACATGTACCAATATAGATTTATCATTCTTAGAATGCCTAAAGCAACTTATCGATAGGTTATGTCTGGTCGATCCTAATACATAATATAAAAACATGATATTAAATAACAATCTTTTAGCGTCAAATATTTAAATCTAAATATACGTTACTTAAATTGTTTTATTCTAAAAAAATTGAAGGAGTATACTACTACTCAAAACTAACAAGATAATTTAAGGGAATTGAATATAGAAAGTAGTTTCTGCACCTCTTTTGTGCTGTAAAGCTATACTGTATTTGTTAAGAATAGACTGTAAGTGTAAAAAAAATTTTCATGTATTTTCAACCTGTTTTATAGAAAAAAAATTGTAGTGAACAATCACCTCGGATGGAAAAAGTGGCGATAAGTTAAAAAGTCAAAACAATGAAAACATAACACCTTGTTTCGTTCTTAGTAGTTTACATTTTGTGGTAGGAAAAGTTAGACGAGTCCTTAAAATCTTATCCTATTTCAATAACCTGTGCTATGATAATGTAACACCAGCGACTCCTAATACGTCCATGACAATGTCTGTAATGCAACGCTGTTATGTGAACATTGTAATTGCATTGCTGAGCCTCCGTGTAGGTTGTACCTTCATTACGCCCAGGATATAAATATTGACAGAGTTCATCCATTAGAATTTTGCTGTGGAAAAGCTCTATATTTACTTATACTTTAAGGATTTTATAGGTATGATGCGTGGTGCGTGCTATTTAGCGTAATAATTTGATCTACAATATAATTTAATGTGTGCTTTTGTGTGGAAGTTCTCGCTGCTCGTATACGTCTGGGAGAACCATCATTTTTTGGTTTGCTTGATGGACAGATTTAGATGTGCTGTGATTTAGATTAGGCTCAGAATCAACGGTTTAGCACTGCATTATAACATAGTTCAAGGCCATTAGTGACTAACGTGATTTGAACCCGGGGCCCATTGGATTGAAGTTCTTCCAATAGTCCAACTGGGGTAACGAAGTGTAATCTGCGTTTTTAAGTCATTTTAAATCAAAACATTTTGCCACAACAAAAATATATTGTTTGAACATGAAAGATTTTGTAATTAAATGTTTTATAACTATTTTACAAGTTGGTATAAAATCCACGTTACAGTATTGTATAAATGACCAAAAAAGGTATTTACGTCAATGTAAATAAATATCAATATCAGGTCCTGATTTTACCTCTTTCTTATGCTTAATTTTGTACTACTGTATGACTGAAAAATATAATAAACAATACTCACAATATGTGTCTGACATAAGGCGGTCGATGGTTTCTTGCTTCAGTTTGGAATTCCGCTTCCCCATGATGACTACCTCCGGTCCATAACACTGTGGACAACAGTGATACAAATCAATCAACACATACAGTATAGTTTTCTCTATTACATAACTGAATTACAATATCATATTTAAATTAGTGGGGAGATCGTGGTGGCCTAACTAAACATTTTAAGTGCAAACATTAAAAAAGTAACATACATTTATTTTAAAATCTGACCTAATATTGGACCTTAAGGTCTATTAAGGCTAAAATTAATCATTAACTATAACCCATTTACTGTTGGTTTGTGTGGTGAAAATTGAACTGATACTTTGTATTAGGAACAACTTTAAAAGAAACAACCACACAATTGTTCGGGCACTCCCTTCCGAGTTGTGATAATTATAGACTACTAGTACAGATTGGAAAGAAGATCTTTAGCTCTATTAGAGATATACCTATATATACGTAAGATATACCTAATTGTCAAATAAAATTACTTGGATGTTAAAATACACACTTATTCTGCACCAACTACGCAATGAAAGATAGTATAACTTTTTAACTACATTCGTTTAACAACTATCACATGACAAACCGGTATCAAAAAGCATTCTGCTTTGGTTAAACTCGTTCAACCTGAACTGTATTCATACATTGTGAAGCAAGTTCCTTAAAATAAATACAAAAGCACATTTTAATGACACGAGTTGAAGTACTCCAGTAACGAATGTGTTGTCTACGTCACTACTCGTTGTTGTCATTGTTGTTTTAACGTTTTGTTTTCCCTTGCTAACCTTTCTTTCAGTTAAAAATATATATATTACAGGCTTTAGCTTGAGTTTAAAATATTCAGGAGGAAGCTATTCGAAAAGCTGTCAATTTTTAACCACCATTCGCTTATTGGTTATTAATCAATGAAACACTGTCAAAACACTTCTTTCATAGAGAAAATTTACATTAGTCGGCATTTTCGACTGATTTTAAAAACACACACGTTTTTCGGACACATAGTAAAACTGTTGAAATATAGTTAAAAAGCGATTTTTAACCGACTTCCCCACTACCAACAAAAGGAGGAGGTTCTCAATTTGTTTGTGGCGATGTTTTTTTTTCTATGTATGTTCACCAATTTCTCTGTGATTCTTTTACCGATCAGTGTGGTTCCACCACCAAAATAACCAGGAGAGTTTCTATTTGGTACCTTATATATTATGTTTAAGTATAATATTTGTTTCGGTGAAAAGTTCTGAAAACCTTAAATATTCAACATTTATTTTGTTTACATTTGTGCAGATTGTTTACATTTGTGCAGAGAAGGCAATAAATAATAATAACATTCCTACTACAGCTGTTAGTTGAAACCATTTAAATGAAGCTACAGACAATTCTTCATAAAACAGTTGCTTCATATTGATCAATAAACTATTTCTTGCCATTTTGTCCATGCATTTTGTTTTGGTTACTATAAAAAATGTATTTTAACGTTTGACCTGTTTTGTGTATACAGTAATTCTGTGTTTAGTATTGAATATTCTGACTTACAAAAACATATATGTTTCAGTGAATTTTTGATATTGATGTTAATAGTATGATATTGACAAATAAAGGTGTATTGTGAAAACCAAAGCATTCGTAAATCAGGTCTAAATATAAATCAAATGCAATTATTCCTTACACGACCTTAAATGTGACAGTGCATAATCGTCAATTGTCTTAAAATTATTAAATATTTTAATTAATAGGCTAAACATGCATTTGCAGATGTGGAATGTTTATTGATATTCTCTACCCAGTTACTATATCATATCAATACTATTATGCCTGCTTCGGAAAGTCCTAGAGGAAGATGATTTGCAATTTCGACTAGGCTATATCTTGAGCAAACAAAACCCCCTACATGACTTACACCACTTTTAGCTGAACCAATCTTTCATATAATATTTTCCAAAGGTACTATACGAAAGATACTATGGTGTTAACGACCAATTTTCCACTTTTGAGAGATTTTTTAGTGCTGGTAGCTGAGGAATAACTTTCATATTGTTCCAAAAGGCTTGTGACGTTACTGTGTTTCTTTTTATAATGTAGAAGTACACCGATTGCAGGAAACGATGATGTCTGACATTTAAATGTATCTAGAAAAGACAATTAGTTTTTCATTAGGCCTAATGTAATGGACAACTCTTTCTTTCTTAAGGAATATCTAAAGATGTTTATTTTCATACCCATTGATTATGTAGCCTAACCTGAACAGGTGACTCAAGCAGTTTTAAAACAATGATTGCTTTGTGGAACTTTTGATTGTTTCAAACAGTTTTGCTTATCAAAAATCCTCAAGTAATTAATATATAAAAAATTATACAGTCACTAAAAATCATGAAATAATTTATTTTTGTAAAAAAATACAACCGACTTCAAACGCTCTAAAAAGAATGAAATAATTTCAATAAAGTTAACTTTTGTATTAGGCAAGCTCACGTATTTCAAGTCGGCGCGGCTCAAACTGCAAATATGATTGAAATTAAATATTGTGTGTGTATTTTGAAAATCAATAAATTGTAGCTGGATAACATAAATATATAAAAAACATACTGAACTGTTTTGTTTATATATTAAAGGAAATATTTTCTTGTATTTTATGTTTACTTGAGAATGCATTATGAAAATAAGACACACAAATGTTCTATATGAATAGGAAAATAATTTAGTTTGATATTATGATAGGGAAAAGAAGCTAGTTTAGTATTAAAATGTTACTTGTCCAAGTTAGAAACATTTAAATGTGTTATAATCTTTTTAAAGATACTCGTTAATACTACTAGCCTATAATGCCGATCTCTGATTACGGTAATGAAATAACACTTAACGCATAACTATGAAAAAGACATGCAGATTAACGCCTTTAGTTATAGATAGTCACCTGCAATATGGACACCCTCTTTTAATTTTGTATCAAAAATCATCATAGAGTTGCGCCGACTTAAAATACGTGAGCTTGCCTAATACAAAAGTTAACTTTATTGAAATTATTTCATTCTTTTTAGAGCGTTTGAAGTCGGTTGTATTTTTTTACAAAAATAAATTATATTGTTATATTTAGCTGTTTAGTTAGCCGATTTAGTATTTTTACTTTTATTTTGTGTATTAATTAATTTATTTGTGTGTTTTGTGTGATTTCTACGACCATGGCATTTTTCACGTTTTTAAAGGGAACGGTCCAAACCCTGGTATTTTTACTATCTAACGACGACCTTTTTGTTAGATAGCATCATTACTTCATCATAGCCCTGGCATCATCTCTTCATAGCCCTATGACAAATGGCATCTGGGTCTGGAAACGATAATGCTTGGAATTGAGCCAGCGACAGTAGTGGTGAACCCACAATATGACCTCACTTTCGGCGTTTTTGGATCCAGGACTTTTAAATTTTTTGGCGAAAAAACACCCAAAATAGGTAAAATATGATGGTTTTACCCTTTTTTTGGCGTTTTAGAGGCTATATGTGGGCATTTTTTGGTTAAAAAATGTTATTAATACTGAAAAAACAAGCCTGGAAATGAAGAGCTTTTTTTGACCACTTTTTTTAAAACCCAGCTCTCGGCACGTGAACTCGGACGCGCTCCCGACCCATAGGTTACTTCTGATCCCCAGCGATGACAAACTAAAAGTCTTATGAAAAAATGTTAGAAACAAAAATTGAGGAACATCTAATCATCTATACTTCTTCCACTGAAAGTTTTTCTCTGACCGAAAAATAAAAAAAATCCTCGCTTACTTACTTTTTCATGTTTGTTTTGAGTAACCTTTTTATATTTTCCTTAATTAATAATTATACAGTGGCATAAATTAAATTATATTTATATTGTATTAAACAGTAGTTTATGTAGAATTTTAATATATAAATTTTATGCTATAAATATTTTTTTTAGAAGCTAGACAAACATGTAAGTGATAGGAGGCGCATCACTTTGAACATCGTCATGCCCCCGACAGTGCCGTGCTGGTAATACCTAGAGTTTGAAACTATTGTTATTGTTGAAATTATATTATAACACATTTACATACAAAAGAAACTGGTAAATGGTTTTAAATTGTTTAACTTTTTATGCTGTATTATTATGTAGAAGGCCATGTAGTATGTAGGCTGGAATTTTAGCCGTTTTGTTGTATATCAAGCCTTTTTGAGATATAAATATTTTTAAACAATAAAGCAGACCTTTATTCACTAATGCTGATATTATATTACAATGCATTGGCATACAAATGAAAACGGTTTGATTTATTTGTACTCATATAAAATAATATAATTCTTTTGAGTTATAGGGATGTCTGGTGATTAAATCACAAATTAAGATCATTTATAATGGACTTTTAAAATAATGGAATTAAGTATAGACTTATAACATTTTCATGATAACTGTTTGATTTATTTGTACTCATTTAAAATAATGTTAAAATAGTATTTGATTTTTATGTTGTATTATTGTTTTTTATCAAAAGTTGAAACCAATGTAGTGTGCCTAAATGTTTATTTACTGTTTTATGTATCTCAAGCCAATAGATAGAATAGAACAAAGAGGTGTTTTTGGTGTTTTACCTATGAGAATAACATGGGGAGATTTTAAGCCACTTTTTAAAAATCGTGCTTACTCTCTATACATTTCTATGCAAATGTCCATCTCCAAAAATATTTCCAATCCCCATTAATTTTTGTATCATGTGAGTTTTGCACCAGTTGGTTTGAAATATTTATAAATATAACGTGTTGCTGGAATCGCCTTAAATGGCAAGAAACATGTAGTCTTGGGACCTCTGGTAAAATATTGGAGTTTTCCTAGTTTGGACTAAATATTTTTGAAAATTGAAAAAAAAATATGTTTTTTACTCAACTATTTTAGCATCTTGAAACATGTATTACCGAAGAATCAGGCAAATATTTCGTGCCGAAATTATATTTTACCTTACGTGAGAACTTGGAATCATTATTTAAACTCAGTCCTGCTCCACAGTATAATTGCAGGCTTGCTTCTCGTCCTAAGTGGTGAATTGTGTACAGTTT